CCTCCCCCGGGGACAGGACCCCTCAGTGACAGAGCCCATCCCCCAAAACACCCCCCCGGGGACAGGACCCCTCAGTGACAGGGCCCATCCCCCACACCCCTCTGGGGACAGGACCCCTCAGCGACGGGGCCCATCCCCCACCCCCGGGTCCCCCAGGCCCGGTCACGCCCCCGGCCCGCACCTCCTTCTGCTTGGGGTCCTGCGGGTAGACGTCGGGCGGCCCCAGGCGCGGCCGCTTCAGGGGCCGGTGCTCGTAGCTCAGGATCCCGAAGGCCGCCATCGCCGGGGGGGGCTGGCGGGGCCGGCAAGGCTGGGGGAGAGACACTGCCGGGCCACAACAAGGAACGGCGGAACCACCCGAGTGGGCCCGAACCAGCACCCGGCACTCACGGAAACTGCCGAGCGGGGTCGGAGCTTCCCGAGCCGGCACCCGGCACTCACGGAAACTGCCGAGCGGGGCCGGAGCTTCCCGAGCCGGCACCCGGCACTCACGGAAACGTCCGAGCGGGGCCGGAGCTTCCCGAGCCGGCACCCGGCACTCACGGAAACGTCCGAGCGGGTCCGGAGCTTCCCGAGCCGGCACCATACACTCACGGAAACGTCCGAGCGGGGCCGGAGCTTCCCGAGCCGGCACCATACACTCACGGAAACCGCCGAGCGGGGACGGATTTTCCCGAGCCGCCACCCGGCACTCACGGAAATATCCGACCGGGGCCGGAGCTTCCCGAGCCAGCACCATGCACTCACGGAAACCGCCGAGCGGGGACGGAGTTTCCCGAGCCGGCACCAGGCACTCACGGAAACTGCCGAGCGGAGCAGCGCCCGTTTCCCCGCCTAGGCAGCGCCTAGTGAAAGGCCAGCTCGGCAGCCTCGTGCCCGGCCTGCCCCACGTGACCCGCTTCGCCCCCCACGTGTCCCCGTCTCACTGCTGACTGGGCTGTTCTAAGTCCGGTCGGCGGCGCAGGGACCTGCCGGCATCTCCCTCTGGCCCCTGGGCTTAGGGGTGCCCCGGGGCCCGCGCCGGCTCCGCAGCTCCCATTGGCCAGGGGCTCCCCGGCCCCCCACCTAGGAACCACAGGGAGATTCCAGCCACTTCCTGGGAGCCCCCTCCTGCCTCCTGAACCCCTCATGTCCGGCCCCACCCCAGAGCCCACACCCCCTCCCCTTCCTGGAGCCCCCTCCTGCCCCCTGAACCCCTCATGTCCGGCCCCACCCCAGAGCCCACACCCCCTCCTGGAGCCCTCGCCCCCTCCCACACACCCTCCCCTTCCCGGAGCCCCCTCCTGCCCCCTGAACCCCTCATGTCCGGCCCCACCCCAGAGCCCACACCCCCTCCCACACCCCCTCCCCTTCCTGGAGCCCCCTCCTGCCCCCTGAACCCCTCATGTCCGGCCCCACCCCAGAGCCCACACCCCCTCCCACACCCCCTCGGCCCCCCCCACACACCCTCCCGTTCCCAGAGCCCCCTCCTGCCCCCTGAACCCCTCAGTCCGGCCCCACCCCAGAGCCCACACCCCCTCCCGGAGCCCTCGGCCCCCCCCACACACCCTCCCGTTCCCAGAGCCCCCTCCTGCCCCCTGAACCCCTCATGTCCGGCCCCACCCCACGAGCCCCACACCCCCTCCCGGAGCCCCTCGCCCCCTCCCGGCCCGGAGCCCCCTCCTGCACCCCAGCCTGGAGCCCCCTCCTGCATCCCAAACCCCTCATGTCGGGCCCCACCCCAGAGCCCTCGCCCCCTCCCACACACCAACCCCCCGCCCCAGCCCAGTGTAAATCAGCAAAGGTGGGGGAGAGTGAGCAATGGAGGGGGGGATGGAGTGAGCAGGGGCGGAGCCTCAGAGAAGGGGTGGGGCCTAAGGGAAGGAGGTGGGACAAGGGTGTTGGGTTTTCTGCAAATAGAAAGTTGGCAACCCTAGGGGCAGCCCGTGGTCCTGTCCCGGGGCAGTCCGTGCTCCAGGCCGTGGTCCCACCCTGAGGCGGCCCATGCTCCAGCCCTGGGGCAGCCCGTGGTCCTGTCCTGGGGCAGGCCCAGCCCATTGTCACACACAACCAGGCCAGGTCGTGATGCCAGCGCCCCTTGCCATGAGGCCATGCTGCAGCCGGTGCCTTTCCAGTCCGGCTGCACCTCATCTGCCTACACTGACCCCGCCGTGATGGGGCAGAGATGCTCTCCGCAGGCTGGGCTGCAGCTCACAGGGAGTTTCCCTTGGCTGTAGAGTGAAGCACGCTCTGTGCCTATCCCCCAGGGCTGCCAGGACCTATCACTGTCCTGTCTGCAAGCACTCGGGGACGAGGTTTTGTACAGGAAGCAGCAATGCGTGCGGAAGCTGAGTGAGCTGCGTAGTATCCTCCTTCAGCAGTGAGCGCTCAGTGACACAGCCAGCTCTGCCGCCTGGCCCAGGTGCCCAGAGAACGCGTGGCAGTACAGGGCCACCGAGTCCCCTCTCGCTCCCGCCTCTGCCAGGAAGGAAGCTGGGATGTTCCTGACTCTAATCCTCCTGCTCGCTGTTCGCAGCCAGCGAGCCATGGCCACCCAGAGGCAACAAGGTAATGCTCGCGCTCACGCCGCTCTGAGTCCCAGCTGCCCACCACGTTCCTCAGTCCGCTTCCTGCCTTTGTTCTACAGGCCATGTTTGGAGCTTGGGGAACGGCCTCGCTGACGGGCCACCAAGGCAAGGCAGGAGTTCAGGAGCATGAGGCGTTATGGGGTGGGGAGAGTGACTCTCTAGCAAGGGGGAGGCTCTGGAGATTGTGCGTTGTCCGTAGAGTCTTTGACCTGTGGGTTCAGAGCCATCCCAGCTTAGGCAGGTGTTGACTCATCACCCCCTGATGGCGGTTTGGGGGCCTTTGTGAAGCATTTGGTAAAACTCAGGTCGCTAACTCGCGGTGTCTTGTCAGCATCACAAGTCACCACCATCGGCACAAACTGGCCCCTTCGCTGTTTCAAGGGTAAGGCCTGAATGGTCCATGGAGGCTGAATTCACGTCTCCCCGTGATGCCTGGGGTGGGGGAAAGAGGCTGCATTGCTGCATCATGAGCTGTAACTCCTCTGTTGCTAGAGGCCGCCTCTGTGTCACTCGGGCACTTCGTTGTGCGAGATGTGCTGGAAAATATATTGGCACAAGTGAAATAGCAATGATGAGTGAAGACATTGCTCAAGGGATGACATCTCTCGACAGGGCAGTACATGGCGTCGGTCAGGGACCAGGGTGTCCGTCTGCAGGGGCATGATGTGGTATCCATCAGGGGGTGGCTCTGTGGGGGTGTTGTCTGGCCACAGGGCAGTACATGGCGCCCATCAGGGTGACGGCTTGGGGGGGTGACGGCTGGCTACGGGGCAGTACATGGCGCCCATCAGGGTGACGGCTGGGGGGCGTGTGACGGCTGGCTACGGGGCAGTACATGGTGCCTGTCGGGGTGACGGCTTGGGGGGGTGACGGCTGGCTACAGGGCAGCACATGGCGCCCATCAGGGTGACGGCTGGGGGGTGGGTGACGGCTGGCCACAGGGCAGTACATGGCGCCCATCAGGGTGACGGCTGGCCATAGGGCAGTACATGGCACCTGTCAGGGTGACAGCTTGGGGGGTGACAGCTGGCCGCAGGGCAGTACATGGTGCCTGTCGGGGTGACGGCTGGGGGGCGGGTGATGGCTGGCCGCAGGACAGTACATGGTGCCTGTCGGGGTGACGGCTGGGGGGCGGGTGATGGCTGGCCACAGGGCAGTACATGGCACCTGTCAGGGTGACGGCTGGGGGCTGACAGCTGGCTACAGGGCAGTACATGGCACCTGTCAGGGTGATGGCTGGGGGCTGACGGCTGGCTACAGGGCAGTACGTGGCGTCCGTCAGGGTGACAGCTGGGGGGGTGATGGCTGGCCACAGGATAGTACATGACGCCTGTCAGGGTGACGGCTGGGGGGGCAACAGCTGGCTGCAGGGCAGTACATGATGCCTGTCAGGGTGACGGCTGACGGCTGGCCACAGGGCAGTACGTGGCATCTGTCAGGGTGACAGTTGGGGGGTGACGTCTGGCTGCAGTACAGTACGTGGCATCCGTCAGGGTGACGGCTCAGGGTGGTGATATCTGACCACAGGGTAGTGCTTAGTGCCTGTCAGGGTGACGTCTAGGGGGTTATGTCTGGCCTCGGGGCAGTACCTGGCATCTGTCAGGATGATGGCTCAGGTGGGTGATGGCTGGCCACCAGGCAGTACGTAGCATCTGTTAGGGTGACGGCTGGAGGGGTGATGGCTGGCCACAGGGCAGTACATGGCGCCCATCAGGGTGACTGCTGGTGGGGGGGTGACAGCTAGCCGTAGGGCAGTACATGGCATCTGTCAGGGTGACGGCTGGTGGGGGGGTGATGGCTGACCACAGGGCAGTACATGGTGCCCGTCAGGGTGACGGCTGGTTGGGGGTTGACGGCTTACCACAGGGCAGTACATGGTGCCCATCAGGGTGACGGCTGGGGTGGGAGCGTGACAGCTAGCCGCAGGGCAGTACATGGCGCCCGTCAGGGTGACGGCTGGGGGGGCGGGGTGATGTCTGGCTGCTGGTCAGTATGTAGCGTCCATCAGGGCGTAGCGTCCATCAGGGCGGTGACATCTGGCTGCAGGGCAGAACATGGCATCTCCTCCCTTCTACCTTCTCAGAGCAGCCTATCAGCACCACTCCTGCCTGGCTGCAGGAAATGGGGAAGTGCAGTGGGGCACTCCTGAGCTCTGCTTCCCCCACTGCGGCGGCAAGCAAGAGGGGGGACTCAAGGCCAGATCCCGCACTGGAAGTACTAAGTTGCAAAGCTGCCAAGCTCCCACCCTCATCTCCGTGGGGAAAGAGGCTCTAATCTCATCAGCCTCCAGCTTGAACCCTCAGAGCACTGGCCTCAGGTTTTAGGAGTGGGGCAGGAGGCGGGCGCTGCTCAAATCCATTCTCTTTGGAGAGGGAAGTGGAAGGGTCAGCTGTGAACCACAGGCCAGCAGCAAAGATTCAGAGAATGAGTCAGTTTTTTGTAATGCTGAATGAGGAGCTTTATTAGACTAAAGAACACAATCTTTTCCTGTAAGTCCTGCCAGGCCCATGGGCCTGCAATGCAGTTACCAGAGCTGCTCAAACTCTGTCATGGAGAGTCCCTCTCTCACTGCATGGAGTTCAGCAGCAGGATGTGAGGCCCTGATAAGTATCTGCACCGTGGGTATAGTTTTTCGATGTGTATCAGCTTTAGTCTCTGGTTTAGTCTGTTCTGCTGTCAGTGGGGAGGCTGGCAGGCCCTTGTGTGTTACTCTCACTCGGAGAACCTCAGGAATAAACTGGGATCCTCGCTGAACAGGAAGCCAGTGCTCCGTCTGGGCTTGCCACCCACATGCGAGAGCTCTCTCGACCAGCGTTGCTGTTCATGACCAGCGGCACGTCACTAGTTGGAGTGATAGAGACCCTGCAGATACCACTCCTCTCTCAAGCGCCCTGTTGTTCAAACATTCTCTCTCTCTATGTGGGTGCACCTGCTCTCGGTGTCTGGAAAACTAGCTGCAGGCTTCCCATCATCTCGGCATAAGAGGTGCATCCCAGCAAAACCACAGCTGGCAGCATCTGTTACTCCTGAGGGCATTCTGCTCCAAAAATGTTAAAAATCTGCAAAATTCTGCAAATTTTATTGATCAATAAATGAATGCAGAGGCGCCAGCATGGCAGTGGGAGCACAGGCCACTGGCTACATGAAGGTGAGAGATCACCCTGTCGTCCCCCACCCCCTGGACACGGACTCAGATCCTTTCCCTTGCAGCTCAGAGGATCTCCTCGACCCGCTCAGACATTAATCCGTGTTATGCGGTTTGTGACAAAACAGGACCTTTGAGTGCACATGCTGTATAAATGTGCTCCAGGCCTTTAACCGAACTGTGGAACTGCAGCGGCTCCAAAACATGGTTAGGTGGTGGCATTTTAGGCACTTTGACTTCTGGCTCTGTCTTCGTCCCTTCTCTTAATCATAGAAATGTTGGGCTGGAACGGACCACTAGTGGTCATCTAGTCCAGCCCCCAATGCTGAGACAGGACCAAGTAAACCTAGACCATCCCTGGCAGGTCTTTGTCCAACCAGTTCTCAAAAATCTCCCTGATGGGGATTCTACAATAGCCCTTGGAAGCCTCTTTCAGAGCTTAACTACCCTTGTAGGTGGAAAGATTTTCCCCAATGTCTAGCCTAGATCTACCTTGCTGCAGATTTAGCCCATTACGTTTTGTTCTCCATGTCCACTGAAGGTAGGACAGTTAATCACACTCCTCCTTTAAACAGCCCTTCTCATAGTTGAAGACTTATCAGTCCCTTCTCACTCGTCTTTTTTCCAAGACTAAACATGCCCAGTTTTTTTAACCTTCCCTCATAGTCAGGTTTTCTAAGGCTACATCTACACTACAGCACTTACAGCGGCACCGATGCTGCTGTAGCACTTGTGGTGGAGACGCTCTCTGCTGACGCGAGAGAGCTCTCCCATCGGCTTAATAACTCCTGCCTCCACGAGAAGTGGTAGCTGTGTCAGCGGGAGAAGCTCTCCCTCCGAAACACCGCTCTCTACACCGGCACTTAGGTCGCTGTAACTTATGTCACTCAGGAGTGTGGATTATTCACACTCCTGAGCAACACAAGTTATATCAAAGTAGATGTAGACAAGGGCTAAACCTTTTATCATCATTTTTGTTACTCTCCTCTGTACTCCGTCTCCCCTGTTTTGGGCACAGTGCTCCAGCTGATGCCTCACCCGTGCCGAGCAGAGCGGGACAGTCACCTCCTGTGTGTTACATAATACACCCCAGAGTGATCTCAGCCTTTTTTGCAACTGCAGCAGATTGTTGGCTCTTATTCAGTTTGTGAGCCATTATAACCCCCCCACACATTCTTTTCACCAGTATTAACACCTAGCCAGTTATTCCCCCTGTGTAGTTGTGCATTTGGTTTTTCTTTTTAAGTGTAGTACTTTGCACTTGCCTTTGCAGCATTTCATCTGGTTGATTTCAGACCAATACTCCAATTTGTCATGGTTTTGAATTCTAATCCTGTCCTCCAAAGTGCTTGCAACTCCTCCTACCACAGTTTATAAGCGCGCACTCTACTCCATTATCCAAGTCATTAATTAAAATAATGACTAGGGCCAGACCCAAGACTGACCCCCCACAGGACTCCGCTAGATCCACCCTCCCAGTTTGACAGTGAATCATTGATAACTAGTCTTTGTGCCCCATCTCTTCCCTGAATAGCATCCCATGGTGGAAGAAACTGAAGCTCTTCCTTCGACACCAACTGCGCTGCCCTGCATTCATCTCCAGGATGCGTGTTCTGGCCTGGGCCCTTCCCCTCAACTGGAAGGATGGACCCAGACTGTGCCCCTGACTCCTTCACCCTCATGCGCAGAGCCCTGTGGGAGGGGGGTGGATGAGCAGCATAGGGTGGTGGTCAGAGGGATGGATGAGCCGCTTCAGCCTTTCCATAACATCTTGGCTGCAGGCTCCAGGCAGTGCCTGCACCTCCCAGGACATCATGGGTTGGCAGATGGACGCCTCCATCCTCCTCAGAAGGGAATCTCTGACCTCTGGCATCCTGCGCATCCTCCTCTCGGCTGCTGTGGCTGTGATCCTCCAGCTTTGGAGGCAAATGGCTCCTCCTCAGCCACTGGGGTCTGCCCCTCACCTCCTGTTGTCAATACAGCTACCAGGTTTTTCACCTCAATGGACAGGGACTTGGGGTGGGCTGGGGGAGAGCACAAGCTACTGCCCGAGGTGGCCAGCCGCCAGTCTCCTCTCCATAGAGCAGCTGGTTCTCGGTCTGCAGTCAGCCAGAATCCTCCACCCAGATGTATCCTTGCGCATCCTGTCAATTAAGTCCTCCTGCTCCCCGACAAGCCACCTCCTCCTGCAGCTCTCTGACCTGCTTCCCGAGGGACTTCCCCAGCAGACACCCCTCACACCGAGCAATTCCCCCGGCCTGGCTTTCCTCACAGGCCGCGTTCCCAGCAAGCCAAGACCAGGGCTGGCAGGGCCTGCCAGGTGCAGGCAGAGGAAGAGCTAGGAGTGGTGCTGGCGATGCGCCGTTTGCCTCCCAGTGTGGGTTCTTCCTTGTAGAGCACCTGGAAGGGAAGGGGGGAAAAAAGAGACACGACGACTGTAGCTGGGGTTGTCAGCACTTTTCTTTATCTAATTTTACTCCTGCAGCCTCAGTTGCCTTCAGAATTTTACCTGCCTTTCCGTTCTTCCTGACGTCTCCATACCTAGCCTGTCATCTACGTGGACGTCGGTTCCCCCCAGGCCTGGCAGAACCCTGCTCCTTTGCCTTGCACCGATTTCTGGGGCAGTTGTAATGCTGATCAGGCAATAGCAGAAGCAATGCTTTCAGGCCAGTGGTACAACGGGGTGTGGCTGGCTCACGCCTGGGCTCGGGACAAGCTACACTGGGTCGCCGTCAGGCTTAAGGAAATAAAAGGTTTGTAATTTAGCTCCTGCCCCTTCAGGCAGGGCACCACCGGCAGCTGCTGGTGAGAGGCCAGTCTGCTAAGTCATTTGGGACAAATCAACCAGCAGCCCCACAACAGGCTCTGGCGAGCAGGGGCACAAAGTTCAAGCTGCTGCGTTCTCCCCCCAAGCCTGACCCTTCCAGGTTGGAGCAGGGCTGCCTGATCCCGCAGCAACTCGTTAACCCTTTGTGTACCTATCGCTGGGTGGAGTGGAAACAACCAGAACCCACTGGCTGCAGAGGGCCCACTCCAAAGGCTGTCAAGTCAGTGGGAGTCTCTGTTCCTGCTGCTTCCAGGAGCCTCTTTATTGCTGCACAGACCTGGGCAGAGCCCACCCGGAGTCAGTAACGAGCTCCGTTACCTGTTTTCTCCAGCCTGCCCATTCTTCCTTGCCTTGGGGAAGCCTCAGGTTGGTGCAGAACAGCCCCTCTTGCAGCAGGCTCTGTGCTGGCTGTCCTTCAAGCAGGCCACCACCTGTGTACGTTTTAGCAGGCCCATCTCAGGCCCTGCGCTTCGCTCTTGGAGCCACTCGGCTGCACTGAGAACCTTCATTCTGACATGCTCGACATCAGAGCGCTTCCCCGAACCTTCTGTACCCCCAGGTTTGGGGTAATTATTCATGTAGTGCCTAAGTGAGCTCTGCCCTCCCCAGAACAATGCAAGACGGGTCCCAGCTCTCCTCTCTGCCGGAGACCCTGGAACTCCTTGAGTGAGCCCAGCAGCTCCTGTGGGTTCGGCGCCTTTCTCACTTGTGCCTCAGCACAGGCACAGCAAGGCCAAGCCCAAGCTCATCTTCCCTCCCCAAGCCCTCTCGCTGCTGAGCACGACAGAGCATGGAGGCCAACCACATCTTGCTGCCAGCACCCAGCTTCGGCTCCTGCTCGGAGCCGTACCCATCCCTCAGCCATGCCCTGAGCACCTCCTTCCACCTCCTGGGGTCTCTGATGTGGACTCACCTCCCTCCCCATCCAGACAAGATCATCTCTGGTGCCCAGTGCCCCACTTTACTGCCTTCCTGGTGGCCTGTCATCACCCCCTCATCCTTCAGGCTCATGCCAGACTGCAGCCTCCCCCGGGCAGGGACCATGCCTTGGAGCGTGTAGGAGGCACCTAGCCCAGGTCTGAGCTCAGCAATAACGAACAGTCTCTAAGACAGGCAGGGTTGGGAGGTGCTACTGAAGGGCAGTTTGGAGAGCTCTGCAGAATTGGGGGTTCGTTTCCTGTACAGATAAATCTGTCCCATTGTAATAGAAACCACTTTCCCCCTCCTCCTTCCCAGCTGGCAGTGCCTGAAGTGGGAAACTGTCAGCTAAATTCAGTTACCCTGGCGGTCCCCTTAGCTCAGGGCCAGTAGCACTTAACATGCGAGTTTGGGTCACCCTCGCCCCACCCCCCATTGACAGGGACACTCCCATCACACAGCCTGTTACGCTGTAAGGCTTTGGGGGCAGAACGGTAGCTAGCGGTGTTTGTACAGCACCCAGCACATCAGGTCAGCCCGCGGGGGGCAGGGGCAGATCCGACACTAGCTGTACAGCCATCCTGATCAGCCAGCGGCTACTCGAACATCAGAGCCACCCGCAGCCTGCACGTGTCTTGCGCTGAGGGCAAAGGCAAGAAGCTGGGTTCTGTCCCGAGCCAGACGTAACATTTGGGGGGGGTCCCCCTAGACAGCTGCTCGTCTCTCCCCACCCTGCCGACATGGTGGGTACTCAGCTGGGGCCTCTGGCAAAGCTGGCGCTTGGTTGAGAGTTGAAAGCGATGCCACATTTACACGATCATTGCAACCACCTCCACTGTGCTACAGACCAAGGACAGGAGATGACCGGTCCCAGCATGCACTGCCCCTGGGGGGGCTAGGCAACAGGGACAGGTGTCGATTGGGAGAGGCCCAAGCCGTGCTGCTGCCTTGGGCCAGTGAACAAAGTCTGGGCCCAACAATCCATTCAGCAGCTCTGCTCTTCTCAGGCTGGCTCCTAAGGGTGTTTCCACCTCGCAGCTGGGAGCGAGCCCCCAGCCCAAGCCGCCAGACGCATGTGAAAAACAGCAGCATGCACATGGCAGCACGGGCTGGGACCCGGCCACTGCCCGCACCACCACAGCCAGAGCGATGTTTGTTTTAGCTCTCGCAGAGCTAACCTCAGATCTTTTCCTCTGTCCCTGGGTAATCATCTAGGGCCCCTTGGGAGGCTCACTCACACCCCCAGCTCGGTTTCAGCTCACAAGTCTTCGCACCATGAGCAGCCTTTGCGTCTGCTGGTTGATTGAGGGCTGTTCCCCCATCCCTCAGCTTGTTCATGCTCTCAGGCCCGCCCTAACCGCCAACCCACCCCTGGTCTTCATCTCCCTGGAAACTTTGTGGGGGTCCCTCAGCCCCCGTTAAGGCCTTGGGTTGTCTTTCTTCCCTTTCATCGTGAGTTAGGCTCGGTTGCCTAGTGGGTTCCTTTCCTTCCTCCTCTGGTTTATTCTTTTCTCTCCCTTCAGGTTTAGTTTTTCCCTTCTTGGGATTCCTCTTCCCCAGTCTGAGAACCCCTTACACCAGCTTGTTTTCTGATGGAGAAAGGGCTCCAGTCCGTACCCATCACGGCAGGGCAGCCCTTCCATTACCCCCACCTGTTTCCAATATAACCTTAGTGAAATGGAGAACAGTTTCTATCCCTTTTGCTTCCCTCCAGTCCTGGCCCAAATACGAGACTTGGGAAAACTGCATTCCATGTACTGGCAATCTTTTTTTTAAAATGAGTCCCAGCCACCCGCACTGGTAACCTGTAACGGACAAGCCCCAGCTAGAGCTCCTCTGGGTTCTCCTTTTCCATCTCCTTTCCAGCTGGAGGTTCTCTGGTCTTCCTCCCAAACACCCACCCCGTCAGGTCAGTTCTCTCCTGGGGAGATCTGCCTTCGCAAGTTCCTCCTCAGTTTCATGTTGGGAGCCAGAGAACCTGGTTGATGCCAGCTGACCCACACCCCTATGTTCTTGGGGAGGCCCTAGAGGAATTGTTCAGTCTGTCCATTATCTTCCTCACTGTTTGGGTGTCTTGGCTGCAGCCAGCAGGTGGCCCACAAACCCCCACCCACCTTGTGGATCAGAACTTTTGGTGGTACTGTTCAGTGGACAGATGCACCTGATTCAAGATGGTGGCCTGAATCACCTCATAATTCCTGGCCTGCTCCTCACTCAGAGCCCCCCATAGCTGCCCTCTCCAAGGTGCCCAGGAATTCATTGGATCCTCCGCAGGGCCCATCCTACGCTGTCCTAGGCTGGACGTCTGGTGGCCATCTCCCACCGCAGGACTCACCACCAGCTCTGGAAGCTGCTGCTGGGTCTCTGAGGAAGTCCTGCAGGCGTTTTCGCTGCTCGGCCAGCCAGGGCTGCCAGTCCAGGGGGTGGGATTGCTGGAGACTTGGCAGAGCCTTCTACAGCTCCGCTTGCTGTTTCACCAGCCACTGCAGGGTCCCCTCCACGGTCCAGGCTGCCAAACTCCCCTACTGGCTACAGATCCCAGCCAAGCCTCCAAGAGGGATGGGGGGAGGGGGTGTCCCACTCCTGTCTCTTGTCACTGCTCAGAGACCTTCTGGCCAACCGCCTCATGGCTTATTTCACCGTGTTCTTCTCCCCACCTGCACAAAGTCATGCTGCTCTGTATTTACAATATCCTACAATCCTTAGCTCACTCCGCCAAGGATGGGGGAGACAGAAGGTCTTTTCCCTGGGGGAGATCTCACCTGGTTCTGACTCTGAAAGGCCTGCTTCTCTCTGTTTCCCTGTGCACTTCTTCCTATGCCTTTTTTACCTCTTGGTTAATGGGCTAATTAGCCTTTGGGGCTCTCCTCAGCCCATCCCAATCCACTAATTAGCACAGCCCTTTTTAACCAGGGCTACTCCAGAGCAATGACCGGTGTGCTGCATCAGTCATATGGTGTGTAAAATAATGCAAGAATGGCTACACCCAGCCCCGCTTCACCCAGGTAGGGCGTGGCTGTCTCCCCCAGGGCTATGGAAGAGAGCAGGGGGTTGGACTAGATACCTCCTGAGGTCCCTTCCAACCCTGATATTCAATGACTCTATGCCCCTGACCTACGGGGACATTGCATACAGGACAGCTACCCCTCCTGCTCTTAAGGCAGTGGCTCTCAACCTTCCCAGACTGCTCTGCCCCTTTCAGGAGTCAGCTCTGTCTTGCGTACCCCAAGTTACACCTCACTTAAAAACTACTAGCTTATAAAGATCTAAATTACCAAGTGTCACAGCACAGTATTACTGAAAGATTGCTACTTTCTCACTTTTACCATATAGTTATAAAAGACATCCGTTGGGATACAAAGCTTGTACTTACATTTCAGTGTATAGTCTATAGAGCAGTACAAACAAGTCATCGTGTGAAATGTTAGCTTGTACTGACTTCGCTATCCTTTTTATGTCGCCTGTTGTAAAAGTAGGCAGTGATCTAGCTGCATTGATGTCCCCCCGGCAGAGCTCTGCGTACCCTGGTTGAGACCCCCTGCCATAAGGGAGGTGCTGTGTCCTGTACCCCCGGAGGAGCCTCCGAAGCATTGGGCAGTAGCCCCACAGAGGCTGAAATGCAGCCGTTGCACCCCCTGTAGGCCCAGTCCTGGGGGCCTGAGGGGTTCTGACAGGGTTAGGCCCAGAAGCCCCAGCTCAGGGGCATGGCCTACTTTGCTGCCCTGGTTTCTCTTTGCTGACTGACCACAGCCACCCAGAGCCAGGGCAGGGCTCTCCTGAGCCTGCGTCCTGTGGCTATTTACAAAGCGCTGCTCACCACAGCCCTGCCTGCAGGTTCAGCAGGGACTTTCCAGGCCCCAGCTCGCCGACTGTCATACACAGACCCAGGGTTCAGCTGGGTTCAGCCAGAGCCTGGCCGGAAAGGGCCATGCCGGCTGCTGGGCGCTCGGCCTGGGGAAGTGGCACTGCCTCAGCCATTGGGTTTGCAAAGGAGGAGGAACCAGTGGAAAGTTTCAACAGATGGGAGCAGGGGGGAAAGCGGGGAGGAGAAGCAGCAGCAGGGTGAGGGATTTAACAGCTGTATTTAGCTGTCACTGGAGAACTGGCTCTTCCCAGGCTGGGCACAGCACCCTGTGCTGATGAGACCCAGCACCCATGTGGCCCCACAACAGTGGGGAGGGGGCCAGCATGGGGCTTTCAGGCCACAAGACATGTTAGTAAACAGCAATATTCTGAGCCTTGGTCACATGGATGGAAGTCACAGGGTGTGGGCTGTGCAGGGGGCTCGGGGGCAGGGGTTACTCGCCCCACAGACAGTTCCATCTAGTAACGAGCTCTCACTGCACAGGTACTAACCAGCACCCAGCAGTGGCAAAGCCCCAGCTGTGGGGCAGCTCCTAAAAGGGAGGCCATGTCACAGTGAAACAGCATAATGCCCTGGGGAATTCTCCAGCACAGCCTCTCCTGGATCCCTGACCACCCATACCGCCTCCTCATGGGCTCAGGAGCCATGGCATGGCAAGGCCGAGCCTTAGGCACATGCCACAAGGAGCCCCGGAGCCCCACCCCAAGCCTCGCAATGGCCACAGGTTTTGGAATTCACCCCCCTTGGGGCGATCGGTTCAGGCTCTTTGCAGACTCAGGCATGAGTCAGTTATACTCAGGTTACATGTTCAAGTTTTTCTTGACATCCAGGGGGGCTAGCAACAATTCTTTTAAATTGTTTTTTTTTTTTTTTTTTAAATGAAAACAGATTCTGGTCTCATCAAATGACACCAGGAGCTGGGCCCGTGACGTGGGCTTGTAGTGCCTCCGCCTTAGTCTGGCCCTGCCTGAGGCAAGCCAAGCTGCTGGGCTGAGGAGACTCAGCGTTTCCTCTCTCCTTGACGTATTGCAGCGAGCTCAGTAAAACCTGGCCTGCTCAGAATCCCCTTCTCCATCCTGGGCCGGGGAGTCGCTGTGCTGCTGCTGGCAGCCACTACACAACCCACCCACTTGGGCATGGTTGCTCTGGGAGAGCAGGATAAGCAGCAGGCCCTTCCACACATACGCCCTGGGCAGTGACTCCCCAGAGAAGCAGGCGAACCCCGCCGTAGTGAGGGCAGGCCGAGACGGGAGCAGCCCAGGGTGCTGAGAAGGAGAGCAGCCAGTGGACCAGGGCTTTCATTCCCAAGCAAACGAGAGCGCCCAGTGCAGGCAGAGGGGAGGGTGCTGCTTACAATCGGGTGTGTTTCTGCTCTGCCATGTCCTGTTTTTAGGAGTCGAATTGTCCAGTCTCAGCCCCGCTTGCCCTTCCCACCGGGGACTGTGCGCGCTGTGTAAAATGAAACGAGATCTATTTCTTCTTGTAACCCCCTTGTTCTCCTGGTCTGGGGAGGCTGGAACTAGTTGAGAGCTGGCTGTGCTCTTACGTGGCCCACAGCCAGTGCCCCAGCCACAAGAGAAGCCGTTTCTGAGAATCTCTCGTTTCTCTCTCTAAACTCAAGATGGGCCACAGAGCTTTGGCTCAAACTGGCCCCAAGAGTTTCCCCAGGTAGGTGAAGTTGGGGATCTCAGTGCTATTGACCTGCTTTTGTAATCTGTCCGGAGCAGATCGCTGACTCACCGGCACAGCGCCTCCTGCTGGTCATCTGGGAATTAGCTCTTTCCAGACTCAGAGCGCCTGCTGCTGGCCGACGTCTCATCTGCCACAGGCCCATGTCCCTCCCAGACCCTAGTCCCCCTTACCCTGGGGGTTCTGCCCCACAGCAGTCCCCACACTCTGGGTCTCCCCTCCCAGGGGAACCCCCCACTCTCTAGGCCCACCTTGCCTCAGTGGCTACTGCCAGTCGTCATCTAGCCCCCGCTCACTGGGGCAGATGCAGTCTGTAATGGCCACTCATCACTGGCAAGGGGGTCGGACCAGCTGCCTCTGCCTATCCCCGGGCTACACCTCTGCAGCCCCAGTACCTGCTTAGGCCTTTAACGAGGCCTCAGCCTGGGGAATTGCCAGCCTGGAGCTCCCCAGCACTGCTCTGCCCCAGGTACCCTGCTCAGCTCCCAGGCAGCTAGGCCCTTCCCACTCCAGGGGTGGAGTGAGACTGTCTTATTGTCAGGCCCTGCAGCTCTTTTATAGGGCCCAGCCTGGCCCTGATTGGCTGCCTCCCAGTCTTTTCCTATTGGCTCTCAGCCCCAGGGCTGCCTTTAACCCTCTCAGGGCTGGAGTGGGGTGACTGCCCCCCTACACTGTCCAATTGTCTGAAAGCAGAACCCCAACTCCGGTCATCTCAAATCCAGGGGTGTCAGTACATGCCACACCCTCTGCCATCTCCATCTCTCAAATGCCAGATCATCTCAAACTCCATCACTCAGACACTTGGGCACGAAGTCCTCAGCCCCCAGAAAACTCCAACCAGTGCCAAATGCTGCAGTGTGTCTCAGCAACACGGGCTATCAAGAGCATGTCACACCTGTCTTCCTCTCCCTGTGTTGGCTTCCCATAGAACACAGAGTTGAGTTCAAGATCTTGGTCCAGATCTTCACTGCGCTCACGGGCCTGGGTGCAGGATATCTAAAGTTCCAGGAGCCAAAAGTTCTGGGCCAAGGACAGCTCTGCTCTTCTGATGCAGGAGAACTGTTCACCACCAGGATAAAGTCCCTGCCTGTGGCATGAACTCCCCCAGGAACTAAAAACCAGCACTGACCTCACCAGGTACTGTTCTGAGTGCCTGGCACACTTCTCCAGCCTGCCTTTGTTAGTACAGACCCAGAGCACCGGGCATGTGTCAACTAATGCTTTTTTTTTCTCTTTTTTTTTCAAATCCCTACGCAATTTCCTGCTAAGAGTGAAAGGGAAAAAGAACATGCCCCATGCGGCAGATGTCAGTTAAATCTCTTCCTGCACCGGAAGGCAGAGGAGGAGGGCAGGATAAGAACCTGAACAGAACAGAAAGCTTTACAGCTCTGACTTGGGCGCCTCCTATGGCAAACTACTAAAGCCCAAACCGAGCAGGGGTCCCCAATCTTCTTCACCATTCCAGCATCTTAGACTGATCCCAGAGAGCCAGGTGTGAACTGGCTCACGATAACTGCTCATCAGCTTGAAACTCCTTACACAATGCTCTTCCACTTGAACGTATTCCTCCAAACGTACCAACACCTACAAACCCCGCCAAGTTTGGCATTTCTAGCTTCAGGCATTGGCGTTATCCAAGCACAGTGTATAGAGAGATGGCATTCTGGATGCACACATAACCCCAAAGCAGTGAACCAACTTAGCTGAAAAATTAACATAAATCCTCTTCTGTGGGTTAGAAAGGCAGGGACTTGAGCCGCCTCTGTAGCACATGCTCCCCACCTGCCTCGCCCACAGAATGTCTGTACGTGCTGCAGTCTGAACCCCCACCCCGCCTCAGGAATCCGCCTCCCTGGTGGGTTGGCCATTCGCATGCTCCCCTCTGACACAGCGCTGGCTTTGCGATACACTTCCTTTGAAGGGTGGGCTAGTGGGCAGAGCAGGGATTGGGCGTCAGGGCTTCTGGGATTAGTCCTGATTCTGCAGCTGAATTGAGCAGGTCACTCAGCCACAAAATGTGCTTCCCCTTGCAGGCGTGGAGTGCGTACTCTTCAACGATCAGTACCTGACCTGTATGTGGGGCAGCAAAGAGATGCCGACAGCCAATTATTCGCTCTATTACTGGTACTTTCCCCCAAGGTAGGCAACTCTTCTTTGGGGCTGGGCTGCTCTTACCTCGTCCTGTGGGTTGTATTCCCCGTTAGCATGACCCAAGCAGACCAATGCGAGGCCAGTAGCCATCCTCAAGGAAGTGCAATGGGTTCCCGGGGGTGCTCAAATACCTTGTTATGCAGCCTGGGGCATGCTTTGTGCCCAGGCTTGATGCAGAGCTGGAAGCAGTGGGAAAGTTTCCCTCTCCTGCCACCAGTGAAGCTGGAGGTGTGGGGACTGGCTCTGCCTGGCCGCCCTGTGGCGCTGGAACACAAGAGGGAATGGCTGAGATGGGGCTGTAGGCAAGAGGGCACGCTGGGGGTGGGGCCCGCGGGCTGAAGGGAGGGGAGAGCAGAGCTGTCCTGCTCTTGGCACTTCTTGCAGAGTCCCTGATCGCACCAAGACAATTCTTGGGTTCTTTACAGGGAGGGTCCCCAAGAGCCAGACTCTGAAGCTCTGGTTTGAACCCTGGCAGGGAGCCAGGGCACTTCCACAGCTGAACCCCTAAGGGGCCAGTCTGGCAGCTTCGGGAACCCTGGAGAGTCTGCTTCTTTCGTGCCATCCCAGGACCGAGCCCTCCCTGCCTGACACGCAGGGCCGTGCTGCTGGTGGCACCCAATGGGGAACGGGCTTCTCTCACAGGCACTTTGTCTTCAGTGGGGAGCAGCCTGTGACACCACCTTTGGAGCCCCAAGTACCTGGAAAGGCTGGGCTCTGCCCCTTAGCCCAGCCTCCAGTCTAAACAGAGCCAGCGAATTCCCCATTGGGTGACTCAGAATCGCACCAGCACTTGTCTAACGGTGCCAAACCTGCTCCTCGGCCCCTGAACCAAGCCCAGAGCAGAAGGTGCATTCAGACCTTCCCCAAGCAGATGGAAGTCCTGAGAGAGGAGGGGCACTGCACCCAGCACAAGGGCCAGGGGCTGGAGTGCACAGCAGAGATCATTCAAAGAGCAGAGCTGAGGGCAGCATCCGTAAGGACCAAGGACCTCGGGCTTTGCAGTTTTCTGCTGTCCTTGATTTCTGAGCTCTCTCCATAACCAGCTCTGTCATGCCAGTGGAATGCAAGTACTACCTCCAGGAGAAGGGCATCAACACGGGCTGCTGGTTCAACCACAGCGAGATCATCCAGTTCCGCACCTTCTACATCCACATCAATGCCAGCCATGAGGGCAGGAGCCTCGTCATCCCCACCAAAGGCATGAAGCTGCAGGACCTAGGTATGGAAGAGCACAGCTCATGCTTCACTTGCCCAGCTCAGGCTGCGCCAGCGAGCTGACACCCATGGTCCATGCTGGTGCAGAAGCTCCATCCAGGACTGGCTGCATGCCCACTCCCTCCCCCACTCTATAGTCCCAGCCCAGAGGCCGCTGCACATCAGGAAGAGGTGAAGGGACGCGGTCACTGTTGGTCACACATTCCTTGGGGGCCAGTGGGATGAAGGGGAGGAGAGAAATAACAGCTTTGCGTTCTTCCAGAAATTCTTGCTTCATTAGGAGGCGCTGTTGTCCCTCGGTCCCAATAGCCTCTCCGGGTTCAAGTCATGTGTGACTATTACGGAGCAGCAGCTGTTTCTCAGCAAAGGAGAAGGGTTCACATTATAAACTCGGGTTCCACGCCCTTGCCCAACTTCCCCACAAAGATGCCAATGCCCTGAGGTTTCACATGCCCCCTCTCAACCCAGGGTGCCAGGGACGCAGGTGGGGTGAGATACACAGGAACTGGCCAGCGCCCTCCCCGTTCTGATGCCCGAGGACTTTACAGAGATGAGGGCACGGAAAGTGAGCTGTTGCTGATGAGTGTCAGCGCCGCTCACTGAAATGCCCGGGTGCCCTGAACGTTGGGAAATTGCCAAGTTAGAGACAGCGGTTTTCAGATCGAGCCCCTCTGAACCCCATCACCTGGCACCACTAAATGTTCCCTGGAAAAGAACCAGTAAGGGCCTGCAATGGGGCTTCTGCTCTCTGCTGGGGCGCCCCCTTGTGGCTGCACCTGGAGATTAGCTCTGTCCCATCTGATGCCCCCTTCCTTTGGTCGCTCACACCACAGCCCCTCTTGCTCTCTGGAGGTGTAGTGCTTCCTCTCCGTGGCGTGGCCCCCCGGCCAGCTCACTACAGTGTGTCCCGTCCAGGGTAACACAGGCGCACTGGGCCATTCCAGGCAGCCTTCCCACTTCGAGATTGTGCCACTTCCCTAGGTAGGGGCCACGACAATCAGTAGCAAAGGTCTGCATCATCTCTCCCCATGCTGCCATTTCCCTGGGCCTCATCCCACTCTGCCCTCCACGGGCTTCCTTCTCCACCAGCCCTGGGGTGACCCTGTCCCTCCGGGCTGGTTCCCCGGCTGCTGCTCCTCTCCGCACTAGGCCAAGAGCAGCTGCAGCCCCTTGGGGTGTCACGTCCGAGCTTTATACCAGCCCCCCCACACTGCCAGACGGGTCAGTACTCGGCAGCCCAACTTCAGGCTGCCTCGCCCCAGGTGCAGCCTCCCATGTTAATTAGCCCCTTCTGAGCCACCGTAGCCCTGCAGGTGAACCAAGGGCACTGGAGCTCTCCCAAAAGAGGGGGGCCTGGGGGCCCCAGCCCCTTCCCCTGAAGCCCCGCCCCCAGGGGGGCCAAAAGCAGCCTCTGTCCACCCCCTGGACACCCTGCCCATGGCAGGTGGAGGGACCCAGGCTCCCCACAGCTGCCCACATGGCTCTCCCCGACCCGGCTCCAGCAGGGGCTCGGAGCTGCAGCCTGGCCATGGTAAAAGCCGTGTGGTCAGCTGTGAGACCCTCCACCTCCACCTGCTCTGGGCGAGGGAACCGGGGACACGGGCTGGGGGCTGCTCTCAGGTGGAGGGTACACCATGGCCCCCCACAGCTGCCTGGGCTCCACGCTGGCCTGGCCAGGGAGTGTGGCCTCAGGGGAAAGAGGAGGGGAAGGGGGTAGGGTCTGCCCCGGTGAAAAGTGGACGGGCCAGACCCCTCCGTTTCAAAAAGTGGGGGGGCTCTGGCCCCCCCAGTTCTGGCACCACTGGGGTGAACACCCCGCCATAGGGCCTTTCTGCTGCCCCACGTGGAAGGGCCT